CTCTTGTTGCACACTCTTGTAGGACACTCTTGTGGGTCACTCTTATGCGACACTCTTGTAGGACACTCTTGCCGGACACTCTTGTAGGGCACTCTTGTGGGACACTCGGGACACTCTTATAGGACACTCTTGTGGGACACTCTTAACTCTTGTGAGACACTCTTGTGGGACATGGTTGCGGAAAACTCTTGTGGGACACTCTTGTGAGACACTCTTACGGGACACTCTTGTCGGACACTCTTGTGGGACACTCTTATAGGACACTCTTGTGGGACACTCTTACGGGACACTCTTGTAGGACACTCTTGGGTCACTCTTATGGGACACTCTTGTTGGACACTCTTGTGGGACACTCTTGTGAGACACTCTTACGGGACACCTGTGTAGGACACTCTTGTGGGACACTCTTGTAGGACACTCTTGTGGGACACTCTTGCGGGACACTCTTGTTGCACACTCTTGTAGGACACTCTTGTGGGTCACTCTTATGGGACACTCTTGTCGGACACTCTTGTGGGACACACTTGCGGGACACTCTGGTGGGACACTCTTGTGGGACACTCATACGGGACACTCTTGTGGGACACTCTTGTAGGACACTCTTGTGGGACATGCGGGACACTCTTGTGAAACACTCTTGTGGGACACTCATACGGGACACTGTGTTTTGGGACACTCTTGTGGGACACTCTTGTACTCTTGTGGGACGGAAACTCTTGTGGGATACTCTTGTAGGACACTCTTGTGGGACACTCTTGTAGGACACTCTTGTGGGACACTCCTGTAGGGCACACTCTTCGTACGAGACTTCCTCCAAAAGTCACGCTGCGAGGCTGCAAGACGAGCGTTTCGTTCGAGACTTCCTCCAAAAGTCACGCGTCAAGTCTCAAAAACGAGCGTTTCGTACGAGACTTCCTCCAAAAGTCACATGTCAAGTCTGCGTTTCGTACGAGACTTCCTCCAAAAGTCACATGTCAAGTCCCCAAAACGAGCGTTTCGTACGAGACTTCCTCAAAAACTCACATGTCAAAGTCTGCAAAACGAACGTTTCGCGCGAGACTTCCTCCAAAAGTCCAGCGGAAACACCCATCGGAGCACGCACATCACGCAGCCCTGCCAAGCAGTTTCACGATTCCAGCCCCTCCAAACGACACCCGCTCACACGCCAATCCCAATGTGACAGCGACATTCACCTCTACCACAACTCACAACCTCCCGATTCCCTGCGCCGGCCACGAATCTTTCCGCGTCCACACGTCTAACGCGCACAAAGTACTGCGCCTGCCACGAAATGTCACCTCCGTCACACATCGCAACCTCACGATTCCCTGCGCCTGCCACGAAAATCCCACTTCCACACCTCAAAACCCGCACAAAGTCCTGCGCCGGCCACGAAAAGTAACAATGTCATCTCATGTGAGCTTCAACAAAATTTGCACCACACCACACGTTTGGAATGATTTCGACCCGTTCTGAGCACACTCCCATCCACCAAAATCGGCATTTCAGCTGAGACTTGTCACGAAAACAGAGCCTCGACGCCACATCCTGAAACGCAAATCCCAATGGCACGGCCACATCCAACACCCCAAAAACACGACTCTCCACACGCTAATCCCAATGGAACTGCGTAGCAAACTGCGGATCTCACAAAATGCTGCCGCTGTGCAGCGAAATGCATCACGCTTCTTGCGCGACATGTCCTTTTCACGCAAATCACAATGGACTCGCGTCGCAAACTAACACATGACGCATCCATGCCTGGTCACTTGCAAAAGCTTCCCCCAATGACAGCGCCTTAGCGCTCTACTGCGGACGGTTGCGGACGGTTGCGAACGGTTGCGGACGGTTGCGAACGGTTGCGAACGGTTGCGGACGGTTGCGAACATAGAAGCAACGGGTCGCGAACAAAGCTCTACCCCCAGACCCCCAAGAGTTAAACGAGAACCCTTCGCTACGCATTGGGGAAAAAACAAACAAACAAACAACATTGTTCTGTGGTCTTGAGCGCGTCGAGGTTTGCTGACGTGATGATT